GCGCTCAGCTGATTTTTATTTGTTCGAAGTTTTGCTGAAACTGGTCCTGAAATTGCTGATTTATTGACTTAAAACATATTTTTTGGGCCATCTGGTATGATGTAAATTGTGAGAAAGGGCGCGTAGGTCTTACACAATGAAAACTGCTTAATTAACTGCGTTCTTGTTCCTACCTGGACTATCATCCTCAGTATTGTCTCCTTCTTGGGAATTGTCCGGATCATCTGCCATAGGTTGAAAATAGAAATGCAACATAAGTTGAGTGAGTGAGAGAGAGAGAAAGAGTGAGAGAGAGAGAGAAAGAGTGAGAGAGAGAGAGAGAGAGAGAGAGAGAGAGAGAGAGAGAGAGAGAGAGAGGAGAGGGAAAGAATACGACAGACAGAAAGAGAGAGAGAGAGAGAGAGAGAGAGAGAGGAGAGAGAGAGAGATAGAGAGAGAGAGAGAGAGTGAGAAACAGACAGGCATACATACATACATACATACATACATACATACATACATACATACATACATACATACATACATACATACAGACAGACAGACAGACAGACAGACAGACAAACAGACAGACAGACATGATAAAATAACAAGTTTTTTTAAAAATCGTGAGTGAGGTAGGTTTGTATCACAACACGGTGGAACCAGGCGGTTGTCAATTTTTAGGCATATGTGAAGCAGCGAGGTGGAATCAGGCTCTCGTCAAAATAATCAAGTGAAGAAACTTGCCTTTTTCCACAGGTTTGTCAATTCTTAGCAAATTTTTGTTTTTTGGCTCAACACCTTTCAAGCCCATTAAAGAACTCAGTTCTGTGTGGATTTTTCTGAAAAACGTTGATTAAAGGCACAAAAAATTAAAAATTTCAGTTACCACAGACTCTTAAGCTAAGGAAATAACTAATCAATGGCGGCCATTTTCTCACTAATTTTACCTCTGAAAGCAAGTGACACCTACCTCCTTCATTCACAAATATCCCGACTTGTATTCAAGATAAATGGATATTTTTACATCCAAATAAAGACAAGTAAACAATCTTTAAGATGATACCAATAACTCTACTTGCCCCAAAATTGACGAGAGCCTGATTCCACCTCGCTGCCTCACATATGGAGTTAGTGGTACGCCTATACTTTTCATAAAGCTTGTCAATTTATCTCGCTTTTGATGAAAAAAAACCCATGAATGTATCTCGAACAGAAGTCGAAGTATTTGTGAATGAAGGTTGTGAGATCACTTAGTGCCCGAGATAAAATAAGCAAGAAAATGGCCGCCAGGTTTTGGTGCTTTCTAAAGCTTGGGCACCCTTGAAAACTGCAAATTTACCTTTCATTTTGGTGCTTTTCATCGACGTTTTTAAAAAAAATCCGCACGAAGATGTGTTTTTCAATGGAAATTTTAAGTTGCAGCAAAAAAAAAAAGCATCGATAAAAACTGGCTAATGGGTGAAAAAAAAAAATGTCAGTTTCTTCGATTTCATTATTTTGACAAGCGCCCCTTTTCCCAGCACTGCCGCGCAATTTGTCTCGTATCTCTGTCTGACTACAGAGACGCAATACCCCATCTCGGTCGAAAGAGCTATACTGCTAAACAATAATGGTATATATCGTATTCTCGGAGACGGAATTATATACAGCCATTACCATTGTCATAAAAGGGACCGAATCGCACTCAAATGTTTGAAATGGAGTTGCAGCATTAAGGACCCCCCCCCCCCCCCCCCGTTTTCTTTTCTTCCCCCCCCCAAAAAAAAAGATAAACTTTTAAAAAAATAATTAAATTGACAAAAACTTTTTTTTAATGTAAAAATGTTAAATAAAGTAAAAACAAGCAACAAATTAAAAAGAAATTTAAAAAATCCCCTTCCACAAGTACGCCACAAATTGGTTGTATCACAATACATATTCTGTAAATGGGTCTGAGATGGTTGGGTGTATTTGCACAAGTCTGACACAGGTGTAGAAATATGACCCCCATCCCCCCCCCTAACTCTAAAAAAAAGTAAGAAAGAAAAAGAAAGAAAGAAAGAAAGTAAGAGTAAGACAAAACGCTGTGACGTCAGCTGCAAGCAAACCTTAAGTCAGAGTATTACAAGAACTATATTATAATCTCAATTTTCGCTTGCTTAAAGGTTACAGGTGTACTTGAAGGGTGCAGAGCGCGATGACCATCCAATTGAAACATGGTGCAGAAAGTGAGCGTGATGGTGACACAGCGAGCTTCGCGCAAGGAAATACATAGAACAATAATAAAGAACCACATTTTGGGAAAACGCGCCGTTCCCCC